AGTGTGGAATATTTAGAAGGAACTACTGACAGAAATACAATATAATATACTTAAGTAATTTCTGTCTACATACACCGTGGGTCCTCTTACATGGAAGTCGCCATGTTGGATCAGCTGCTCTACAGAGCGCATTTCGACACTATGTTGAAAACAAAAATTACAAATAAAATGTATTACATACGAAGAAGAAGAAAAAGAAGTAGTAGTAGTTGTCTGGTTTGTTCAAAGTAAAAAGAGAAGTGAAAGTTGGACCAATGGAAGACCACAGGTATTATTTAGCACAAGAGACGACAGATCGTGTTGGGAAACTTCTCTTACGCTCTTGCAAAGGGAGGGATGAGCAGTGAGTGAGCAGTTGGTTGCAATCCTGTTGCTATTTGCTGTAAGATGCGGACCCCACTAGATGCCACTAAAATTTACACACCAAACCTTTAAAGCATTATGTGAATGCTAATGTCAACATGCTAACATGCTGATAATGTTTGCATGCCGATTCTTGGAAGCATTTTCTGACACACTGATGGGAATGTCAAAGACCAAAGATTGGACAAACTGAAATTTTGACGTTATGATGGTGCTAGAAGAAAAGGTAGGAAATCAGTTAGTTATTACGATTCATCCTGGGGACGTATCAGTATCAAATCCCATAGAAATCCATCCAATAGCTGCTAAGATATTTCCCTAAAGCAAAAACAGTCAACCTCATGGAGTCTTTCGGATTAATCCTCTGGTGACCATAACTGTATGCATAACATTTGGTGCCAATCATCTAAGTTGAGTTATTTAATGCCATTTATGAAAACGTTGACCTGCTGGTGCCGCTAGAAGTGTACCTTTTCCTCATGATGTCCAAGGTGTCCGGATGAGAACACTGTGTATTGGCAAGCTGCTGTGGAGGTCTGCCCTCACTGCAGGTCGTTTTGTCTGCTCGCCCATACAGAGCTGTCTGCACAAAGATCACTCCACTCTCTGTTATACAACACAGAGGGAAACAAGGAGAGAGGGACGGTGTAATGGAGGAAAACTCACAGCCAAAAAAAAAAACAACGTATGTACTGCTGTTTGTACTTGTAGTTGTTTGAGTTCAGTCATACCACAGCTCAGGCGGTGGACGTTGAGGTCGTCATCACAGGTGATCACTCTCTCTGTGAATGAGGTGGTCGGAAAGTTGGGGGAAACCTGTTGGGCTCCAGAATGTCCTGGAAAGAAAGGTTTGTGCTATAATTTGTGCATAATGGAACAAATACACGGTTGTTGTGGAATAACAACCAAAAAGACCAAATTAAGCTTCCTATGAACATTCAGTTAGAAACAGTAAAACAGTTTTGGGATGAATAAAATAGCAGAGAAAAGGTCCGGTTACTCCAGAAAGTGGCAAAATTAAAATCATCACTTTATTCCCTCGATACAATGTGGCTTTAGAAGTTTGGCAGATGTTGTTTAACTTTGTTAAAATAACAAAGGATTCGATATCTAATAGCAGCAACTGCAGTGGAGCTGATTTGTCTTAAATTATGGAAAGTAAACAGCAGAAACACGCTTCATGTTACACTTATGAATGAAGATGATAAGAGATTACATTGAGCAAGAGAAGTTGGTGGAACAAAGGCTGGACAGGACGTGATGTCAAGACTTCAGCTTTCTATAAGTTAACACTGTTTAATAACACTAAGTCTGTTTGATGGTATTCGTAACACTATAATATCAGTCCTGTTTGTGTGTTTCTGTCCTTAGCAGAGGAGCAGGATGAGCATGTGACAGAGGCAGAAAGAAGAAGGATTAGTGAAGAGAATGAAGGAGAAGAAAACAAAATGAAAAATGAAAATGAAGGTTGTTTGTGAGAAGAAAGTGAGAAGGTAGTTGTAAAAAAAAATTAAGCTTGAGAATCATGGATCATTATGGAAGTATAATCTAAACTTGTCATACAAAATTCAAACATCCATTTACCTGCTCTCATAAGCAAACACGTTGCTGCCAACACTGGAAAAGAAAAACTTTTTAAAAGTTTATTATTTCAGTCTTGTAACTTTTGTGTAAATCCTGTTTAACAATGTTCTGGGAGTTAATGACAACACCATAAATCACAGAAATCTTTCACAGGTCAATTGAACGTTACATCTTTGAATAACAATTAATACCTGCAGAGAGATATATTTTTAGACAATTTGACATCAGGTTCCCTTTACAAAGGGTTTGTTTGATACTAAGGGCTTTATTAATAGTTAATTAATAATTTACTAATTATTTTATAAACTATACATCATATTATTGATATTTGTGGTGTTCATTCTTGTGACATTTGTTGAAACTTGATTTTATTAAATTACTTGTAAGAAACCTTTGACAGTTGAACTCATGTTAACAAATGTATTAACATTTGTAAAAGATGACTTATGCCTGTTATCCTTTATTAATCATTTCATGTTCTGCAGAATGTATTACATATTAACTCTTGACACTTGAATGAATGAATCATTGTGCTTATAAGTTTATACAAAATGTCAGTTAAAATTTTAGTTTGAGGTCTGTTCTATTAAAATAGAATAAAAAGTTAAGAAATGTATGTCAAATTTTAAAAAACATACAATGCAGACATTTGTTATTAGCAGATATTGGCAATTGTAACTTTTTTATTATCTTTTTATTATCTCTTACTCTAATATCAAAGCCTGAGAATATTTTGCTTTTACTCCAATTAAGTATAATAGAGAGTTTTCAGCAAGTTTTCAGCAAGAAAACAAAAATCTTTTTTAATGATTTAATACAAATCCACATAATTATAATTTCTTCAGTCTCATTAAGGGAATTACAACTTAATCTCATTATGAAGCCCTGTGCTGTATAAAGATAAACAGATCTACCTTGTAGTTTGTTGTATACTTACACAGTGTGATGCTGAGTCTGGAGTGGAGCATTCTGTCAGAAGATCTGGATTGAGTTAAAGCGGTGAAGTCAATCAATGATCAAAGTCAATGATGGTGGTGGAACAGAAACTGGCTATTTATAGTGTTGGGGTATAAAAACTGCTTCTCCTTGTGCAAACAAGTCACCAATGACAAAGTCGGATGACTTCCTTGTCAGTTGCAACAGACCAATGGACAAAACGTTAATAATTACAGATAATCAAATTACATTAATGTGAAAAATGAATCATCTCAGAACAAAAGACTTCTTACTTTAATATTTGTTTAATAAAGTTCCTGAGAACAAACAAGGGAGGGAACTGAGGTTTCATGTTTCAGATCTCTGTTTGGTTATATGAACCCATGCAGACAGCAGGGTCTCCATCTTAGTTTAACATTTTTGTGTCATCGAGTTGTTTGTAGAGCACTATATAGTGAGTTTTTATAAAAATATTGAAAATAGTGAGAAATGCCGTCACACATTACCCAGAGCTCCATTTTATTTCCATTTTATGCTTCTTTATACTTCTACTCCACTACATTTCAAAGGTAAAATTTTACTCTAGTAGATCAATTTAAAATCTATCATCGATGAAATATATCTACATTTACTCAATTATTGAACTTTTTATTTTATGCTATTTTACTTCTACTCCTACTGTACATATTTTAGAATAAGTGTAGTTTTTATTCCAATACATTTTTTTAAAGCTTTAGTTGTTAGTTCAGATTATGATTTTGCATATAAGTATATGAGTATTATATTTTAGTAAATATTTATACCTCGAAATGGCCTGCTAAATTAACGATGTTTTTATAAACCAAACAATCAGTGAGTTAATGGAGAAACTAATCAGCAGAGTAATCCATAATGAAAATAATCATTACTTCCAATCTGATACAAAATAGTTCAAAAGAGCTGCAGCTCAACAAGTGCTGCAGTAAAATCCTGCTTTTACATGAATGCATAAGGGATAATAATGTAATAATAAGAATGATGATGATGAATAAATATAATAGTACAACAGCCACAGGGGACATTTTACTGCTTTTAATACTTTAAGTACATTTTCCTGATTAAACTCATATTCTTTTTACTAAAGTAAAATTTCCAATTGCAGATTGAGTATTTTTCCACTGCGCTTAAGTAAAGGATCTAAATACATCCTCCACCACTGAACAGATGGTTACAGGTGAAATTCGGGGGGGAGTTTGAACACTAAAACCCCAATACATGAAAAATTAAAATTCAACGCTAAAACTCTTATTAGACAATAACCGTGTTGTATGTAACTGTGTAAATCACGACAGATATCTCCTTCTCCGTGGGTGCCTGCAGCAACACTCGCAACTGCAACTTCTACTATCTTCATCTACACAAAAAAAACAAAAAGGAGGATCGAGCACTCACGCTTTGTTTGTGACTATAATAACGCAGTTGTTTCCACGATAAGGGCTTTTTAATGTTTTATTTAGCTAATTTTCTAAAACAAACAGCACAGGATCTTAACTCATAATTCCGAATTTTTCGGGACAGGTCACCCACAACATGCTTCACAGTAGTCATTTTAATTAACTTTCTTGGCATTAATGTTGAGGTAAGCAATGTTGCCAAAGCAGAAATTCACATAAAATAAATATATTTAAATAATAAACAATAAAATGACATTTTTTAAACAAAAGAAAGAGAAAAAACTAAATAAATAAACTAAAAACAATATATATCTATTAAAAACACCTCCACCGCACATGTCTTGCTATTTGACAAGCAGTATCAATTTTCCAAGGAACAGTTATTAAAATAATAATAATATGATAATATTATAGTAAGTTTATACAAACAACAACAATTACTTCATTTAATGTTAGTTAGTCTAGTCTGAGTTTCCTCTGGTTATCAGCTGGTGGCATTATGAGGAGATAAATGCTGCTGCAATGATTTGACATTTGCACATTTCTCGTAGTAAGTAGGGCAATTTCTGTGTGTCTGATAGATTTTTTCTGTTATAAGGTTTTATATTTAGGACGTGAGGAGAGAAAAGTGCTGCAGAGGAGCGTCCTCTTCATCATCCCCGCGTCACGTGACCCCACTCGACGTCACCTTGCTGTCAGGGATTCTAAAGATGGCGACGGAAGGGACGATGCACCTCCACCGCATCTCTGCGTCTTTGGCCGTTTTCCTCGGTTTATTAAGCTTATTAAACACGGGGAATTGCGATGAACAGGTGCCGCTTATTCTGTGGACAAGCGAGGGGTGAGTAATGTTGAGTTTGGTTATTTTTTTCCCCTTATAATACAGGCTGCTCCGCCGGTCAGTGGGTGTTTGACGCTCTTCTTCTCTGACGTTAGTAGCTTCGGTTAACGGTTAACGTTAGCTAACGTTAGCTCTGTGTTGGTTGGTGTTATTAAGATGTGAGTTAACCTCAATAGTTCTCTGCTATGTTATGAATAAAATGCAAAATAGACTGCGGTTGAGTAATTAAATTAAGGAAGCGTAACATGAGAATTTCCTGTAATCCTAATGAATGTCAGGTGCAATCACCTGGACTCACGGGTAAGCAGTTATGATTGGTCGGTGACATTTTACTGGAGTGTGTTTATTTAAAATCACTAAACGTGTCCACATGACACCTGCCTGGAAAATCTACATTGGATAATTTGTGCTGTCATCCTTTTTCAACAGCGTTTGTATTTGTGTTGTGGCTTTTGTATCTTAGGCCTGAAACCTACGGGCCACCGTACATTTCCTCAAGCACTGTGCTCAAGTACATTTTTAAGGTTCTTGTCTTGTAATTTACTTTTACCCCTCTACATTTCAGAGGGAATTGTATTGTATTTTTTTCAGACTGGGATTTTATATACTAAACAAATATCCCCAGTGTGTGCCTCTCATGCATTACCATGGAGTCACAGAGCTAAGCATCCAAGTTTACTGAAGGTATTTTCATCTGGATGGAAAAAATATTCTGTTTTCTGCACGATAAATCCCATTTTTGTGTTTCCTTCTCAAGATGTGTCTGTATTTCCTAACCAGGTAGCCAGAAATCATATTATGTCCCTGCTGTTTTTGTACAATGCAAGCATAAAGACTTGAAACGGAGAGAAACAGCTGGCCTGCCTCACTGCGCCTTGCCTAGTAACTAAATTATAAGTACAAATGCATTATCTGCTAAAGGAATTAAAATTATTATTTAGGCAGAAATGCTCCTGTTAGAGTTTTATAGTATTAATCATTTATTGTATTATTTGATATTATTAGTATTGTTCTGCAATTTATCATTGTGTTGCACATTCTAGGTACATGCTCCTATAGTAGTTAGTTTAATATTGAAGCACTAAATGTGTTAAATGTGTACACTAAACGTGTAAAAAGTCAAATTAAAATACTCAAGTATACAATAAGCACAGTAATTGTGTAAATGTACTTATATTTTACCACAGATAGCTGTTAAATAGATCTGTTGGAGTAAAAGTTCAGTTTTACCTTTTGTGGAGTAGAAGTATAAAGTAGCATAAAATGGAAATACACACATGTACTTACATTGCACCACTGGTAGTAGGAGGGAATATTTTAATGAATTTAGAACATAAAAACCTTGTTGTCTAAAACACCTGTATCCAGTGGTGGAAAGTAACAAAGTACATTTAACCCAGTGAGTTGAGTGTAATGGTTATACATGAGAGGCACAGACTGGAGCTAACAGAACACACATTGTTGTTCACTTTGTGTGTATTTTAGTCAGTGTTGGGAAGTAACTCTGTACATTTACTCAAGTAATGTATGCAAGTATAATTTTAAGGTTATTGTCTTTAAATTTATGTAAGTATTTCCGTTTTATGCTACTTTATATTTTTTTCTCCACTATATTCGGAGCTGATAAAACATATGATCATTTTATATAATATGATGCCCAACAAAACAGAAAGGAAAGGAATCTGTAAATAAAAAATCACTCCACTTTGAACAGCTACACTTTAAAATTCTGCATAAAGGATTATTTTTCTTATGCTACTGTAAGTAAGTTTTGCTGATAACACCTTGTGCTCTTATCTAAGTAAGATCTTGAAGGCATGTCCTGGACATTTAGGGTTTTTAGATTATTCTTTGGCTTTATTTGCTTCAGTGTATGACCTGAACACTTCTTCTGCCACTGCTTTGAATCTCCACCAGGATCTCCCTACCAAGCCAGTCCCCTCCTACAGCCGGTCACATCGTCGAGCAGCAGCAGCTGGCCTCTTACCTGGAGAAAGCTGTGAACGTCGGCCCAAGAAATGTAGTGCTGTTCCTTCAGGACAAGGTACACACATTTTAAATGCTCTATTCTTATTGTTACATTACAGGTATACAGGATTTAAATGTTGGTAAATGTGGTTAAAACACTTCATGTGCCACACAGTCAGGCTTCCTGTTACAGGTTAGATGGAACAAAATCTCATTCAGAAGGCTAGCTCTTTTTTTTTTGTGTGTGTAGAGGCATGCCAATTGTAATGCATGAACAATCCGTTAAGCTGCCCAAGGCTGCCAAATATCAGCGTCAGTCCTGAAAGTTACCAATTATTTTTTATTATTAATTAATCTGACATTTTTTAATGTATGAATGAATTATTTGGTCAAAAAATGTCAAATAAAAAAGTGAAAACAGACATTGCAGTTCAAAAATTATGCCCAATGCTATGTCTTAAAATAAATCCTTTGCTTTCAACAACACAATTTCATTTTATAGCAACTCAAACCTCAGAACGCCGCATTTGTAGAGCTGAAAGAAGCATTTTTTACATTCAGCCTGCTAACGACGTCATTTAACTTCAAGTGTTCACTATAACAGTGAGATTTCTAATTTCTTTGTGTACATTTTGGGTAGAATTTTGTATTTGCGTTTTTGAGATCGTCTGTCCTTGTCTCGAAACCAGATGAGCATAGAAGACTTCACCATGTATGGAGGGGCTTTTGGAAACAAGCAGGACAGTGTTTTCCCCAACCTCGAGGTAAGAGTATTTGTTGATCAATGTGATGTTCATACACTCATCTGTATTTATCCCGTCGATGTTAGAAGTAACAAGACGGGAGCGTGTTTGGTTCACTTTTTATTAGGTTATTATGTAAATGTCACTGGTTGGTGTTTTGTCCCTCGTGTGCCACAGGGGGCCCTGATGTCCTCGTCCTCCTCTCTGGTGTTACCTGCTGTGTCCTGGCCTGCCTCCAATGCAGTGATTGGCCAGCTCCAGGACCAATTAGAAACCTCTCCTCTGTACATGGACCCTGAGACACTAAGCCAGCTGAGACTCAACGCTTCCTCACCCGCCCTGCTGATTTTCAGGCTGCCGTACGGAATCGGGTACGTGCACTGGAGACACAGTCAGAGAGAGACAATTATAACTACTTCTATTACTGATTGTTATGCCAATAACATGGTTTAAACCACAACCAGCAGGCCTTTCTCAGCACAGAGAATGCAAACATGGCAACACACAGACATGATACGTATCATTCTCTGTCGTCCGTCCAGAATAAACGTCCATAAATTCACATAGAAATCAGGAAAAAGATGCTTCAGAACTTCAGTATCAAAGTAATCCAATCATAGTTGTCTGTACATCTATGGGCTCATTGCAAACAAGTATGAAAATTTGCCAAAATGTAAACTGTAAATTGTAAAATGTAAATTTAGGTTTAAAAAATGAGTCTGGAAGAGAAAAGCAGTGCTGACATGTAGCTGACATTATTTGATAAGCTTTTACGGGGTCTTGTCTAGTTTTTTCTGTTGTCATATTGTTTCGCAAATATGCATGTTGGTATTGGCGTGTTTCCATTTTTAAAGATAAGCAAAATATCTTTTCACTTACTCCGTTTTCACACACAAAATAAAAAAAGTAGAAAGACCTGCAGCTCTTCTCACAGCTGATACTCTGAGATCCTTTTTAAAAAAACAAGGACGTTCCCTTTGGATGAGGTTTAAATCACAGGCTGACCAGCTCAACCTCCCCAAGAGAATTAAACCCAGATCGAATGGTGCTTTATTTTCTCGCTCTTTTCATTTTAATTGTGCAAATAATGTCTTTCACTTCCTTCCCCTTATTGTCAACATCTCATTGTTGCCTTGTCTGATTCTTGCAGAGCTGATCTGATGTCTGCAAAAGAGATTCTCAGTGGAAACGGTGAGTCTGCCATATAACCTGTCCAACCCCTCTGATGACTCGGAAGCCCAAAGCATAAGATTGACAATTTTCTCTACTCCATTTATTCAGTGTTTTGCATGTGATCATTGGCTGGGTAATGCCATGCCAACATATGAACAACTTGTTTTTCAGATGAGGTTATTGGTCAGGTGTTGAGCATCATGAAGACCCAGTCTGTCCCCTACACAGCCATTTACACAGCCCTGCGGCCCTCCAGGGTGAGTCTGTGTGTCAGTGTTATGTGTTTTGAGGGTTAATAAACAATGCATCGTTCTGCAGCCGTTTAATTCATATTTTCTGATCCAGTTGTCTCTTTTACAGGAGGCGGCATCTCTCTCTATGGAAGCGGGCCTGGGTGGAGGACGCTCCCTCCTGCAGGCTAGAGGTGGATATAAGGAGAGGGAGAGAGAAAGAGAGAGGCAGCGAAGGATCAAGGAGAAGGCTGGGCTCTACGCTCCAGTGGAGTTTAAGGTGGAATGACTTTATTGCACATTTGATTCCTACTTGCTGTTTTGTTTGTTTTTTGTCCATAAAAGATGAATCTGGAGATCCTATCAGCTTCTTATTGTAAATAATCCCATGAAAACACAAAAAACCTCTCAGTCATAGAGCTCCATAAACACCATCCTGCTGCCCCAAATACCAGAGCACCACATGTGGATTCATCCCAACAAATTCAGTATTTCCTCCAAACCGATGGGCTTGGAGCTGAGAGCCACAGACAGGAAGTCGAAGTATTAAGAGATGCACATTGTAGTTTCTTGACCTCTCCCCTCTTCTCTTTGTACAGGAGGACGAAGAGACCTGTATCCTCCTGTGGGCAAAAAGTCTGACTGTGCGCATCCTTCGTAGTGGTCGCTGGGAAGACCATGACCTGACTCCGTCTACCTTTGGGGAAGGTGTCAGCCCGAAACTTCATGGCTCAAGCTGCGACAAAACCAAATCGAGGTACTTCCAAAAGCGAAGCAGCTTCTTGAGAATAAATAAGCAGTGATTATGAGGCCGAATCCTTTTCGTATTAGGTTTAACAGGTTCAGTGTGACGTGTCAACGGTGATTTATAAGATTTGTGCATTTTCACATCCTGGGCGTTTTGGCAAGCCGTTAGTAATAACGGTAAGAGCCTCAGAGGGAGTGAGTGTACTGGGAACAGCAGTTTTATTTTGAAGTACCATTTCCTGCTTCCTTTTCGCTGGAACTTGAAAGTTAGATAATAAAGACATTTATTTCATCACCATAACTGGTCTCATCATGCATATAGTGGCTTTTACAAATGATTTGTATAAAATGTTTCAAAATTGTTCTTTTTCCTGTTTCTCATGTAATTTTTGGTTCTTTGCAGGTTGGTTCTTAATTATGAGAATGTCCTCGGTCATCGCAGCTTCAAACTGATGTGAGTGCACAACACACTGTACATAAAACACATGAAATTCTATATCTGTGGTTCTGTTTAACTGGTAATTTAGTTTAAGCCTTCAACACTGATTCGGCAAAGCTAACGGACTTGAATCAATGCATAGTACAAAGTACCACCATCTCCTCTGCAGCCTTGAAAAACGTGTCTGTGTGTGTGTGTCCAGCTTTGCCATGAGCCAGCGTCACTACCAGGTGTCTGCACGCCGCTGGTTCACGCTAGACGCCGTGGAGCTGGAGTACGACGGGACCAAAGCCACATTTAACGGTAGCAGAAACATTTATGCCCCTGCTGAGTACTCGTACCGCTGTGAGTCCGTCACCAACTTCCGTTGGCCCCTGCTGATCCCACGCTCATCCAAAGATCCAGCAAATCAGTGGAAGGTCTCTTTTGAAGACTTTCAGGTAAGTCAGTGACCTTAAACCCTTTTGTAGTCTATTTTTGTTTACATTTTGGTGAATTGGCGTCATAAAAATTATGCTGAATTAACTGTTAGCAGTTCCTGTTTTGCAACGTACCTATTGATAGTAGGGGTGTGATGAGACACTTCAAGTGAAAAGGTGCCAAAGTCACAGTGTTCTTTGACATGTCCAGAGAAAAGTCATAATATTACCAAACTTCATCATTTAATAAGAAGTCTACCTGCTCTTCACTCGGCTGTGCATTACGTTATTGATTCGCTGGAGAAAACTGGTAGGTGTATGTAAAATCAGACGTTAAACACCCGCCAAAATGGCATGATCCTCGTTTGCTGCGAAGCTTCGACTGTGAGATTGATAGTCGAATCAGGCTCCGCCCATCGAAGCATCAACTATTCAGGGTCATCCCTACCAGCTACGTCACACTCGTCACAGCGAGAAATATCATCATCATAAATTAATCTCGCGAGATCTTGTGGTACAAGATCTTGTCAAACCCCTAACTGATAGTGAAGGAAACCTAAAAAGTTGCTGGCGTTGATAAAGATGGTAGTGTGAGTCTCACTGAATCTAAAAGTATGTGTCTGTGTTCAGAATAAACTGTGTAATGATTCTGAATGCTCAAATTTTGGTAATCGGACACTAAGAGTTTTAAAGTACCTTAATCACCTCCAGGAGTTGTGTCTCAGCCACTGCTGCAGCTGCAGCCTGGGTTGATAAACGGTCAGCAGCAAAACTGCAACTTAACTTCCTGCTGTTTTCAGAACACTATCATACTTTGCCTCACGTCTCTCCCGCGTCACTCCCAGTCAAACCAAAACTTATACATTTCTGTTTGTGTGCAGATTAAACAAAGCAGACACACCAAGTTAATCAGTAGCTTTAAAGGTGCTGGAAGGAATATTTTTTGAATTCCAGAGAGCCAGTCTACCTGTGTCCACTCCCCCTGCTTTCAGTCTTAATGCTAAGCTAGGCTAATACACTCCCAGCTCAAGCTCCACAGGTATAGTACAGATGAAACTGGTATCAATCATTTTAAGTCTCCTAGACAAAGAAGTAACTGTAGCTGCACACAGACATGTTTTACATTTATTAATTTAAGTGTCTTGCTCAGGGACAGTGGGAATCAAACACAGGTCTCTCACACCAAAGGCATGTGTCTTTATCCACTACTCGATCGTCACGCCTTTTTTGTTTCTGCGAACAAAGTCATAAACCTCACCTCGTTTTGAACTTTGCCTCCACAGATCCAGGGCTTTAACGTGACCGGCAGTGAGTTCTCGTATGCCAGCGACTGTGCAGGCTTCTTCTCTCCTGGTATCTGGATGGGTCTGATAACCAGTCTTTTGATGGTCCTCGTGCTCACCTACGGCCTGCACATGATCATGCAGCTCCACACTATGGACCGTTTTGATGACCCCAAGGGCCCGGCCATCTCTGTGCCCCAAACGGAGTAACGCACACCTGCAGTCTGTGACTTCATTTTCCATCATTCCTCCTTTCTGTCCCTCCAGTGCTTCTTACTGCTTCCATTCCCACCCTTTACATTCCTCCCTGTTCATCTGTAGTTGGGCGTTATACAGACTAATTAGTGGTGTTGTCAAAATAAGGGTTTATTTCATCACTGCATGTGTCCGTTTGTAAGCCACTTCCTCAGACTGAAGAATCTAGTTTTCAGGCAGCTCCAGTTTGTTGTTTGCTTCCCCGAAACTCTCTTCTAACCTGAAATATTTGTCTGCTGCACAAAGATTTTTCACTATTTTCCCAAGTTGCGACTTTGTTTCCAAACAAAGACGGAAGCAGGAAATGACAAGCGCCTTTGCTCAATAAGGCTATAACCAAAATTTCTTTTAACAACAATGTATGAAATGAATCTCTTGTAGTGATGAGCCTACAGCTCACCTTGTTTATCTGACCGGCTGCAGCTTAACTGTTCCGGTTCACTGACGCTCTCAAAGCATCATCATCAGAGACGAAGCTGTACAAAGCCACCGTACACGACCTGCTGAGAAGCAAACAGTTGGAGACCAACTGGTGAACATAGTGGAGCAGCTAAAGAGCCTGGTAATTCCCTCAGGAGGACTCACATTCAAGCACAACTCCAAATGAAAGATCATGTTGCTCTGTAACTGTTAACATAAAGTTGAACATAAAAGGTGATTCATGTGTTCACAGCTGCTGTTTCTGCTGCCCTCAAGTGGCCCAAAAAGGGAGGATTTAGTTTACACACTATGAACCAAAATTATAAAATATCTTAATTTGTCCATATTTATTTGACTTTCTATTTATACTTTCACACAAAATAACGCATTACTATGTTTTTGGATGCAAAGACATGAAATTTCCAACTACCTGTATAGGAAACAGAGTCTTGAGAAAAGGGTTAAAACTCTTGTTGTGCAGCAGATGGTTGGAAGGACTGTAGATTTACAATCAGAACAGTGGGAAGTGTTGCTAGCACACAATCCGGGGCTAGTTTTTAGGCTGTCGTGGATTAATGTTCCCTTTGAAAGGGATACAACTGTACATAAAGGGACAAATATAATTTACAAATTATAAAATGATATTTATTTGTGACACATTGTGTTTTGCGTGCGTTTACAATTGTGTTTGTGTGGGTAGACAAGTGAAATGTAGCTGTGGAATAAAGGGATCACAGGCACACTGTTAACTCCTGTATTCTTGATCAAAGGGACATTTGGATGAACAAGCTGACGATTCAGATCATCTCAATGCAGCAACATGAAAAAGGACCACTAAAATATACACCTTTGAAAGTCAGATAGTTGTGAGTGAATAATCTTCATGGTTATTCAATTTTTCATTTCTGAATAGTTTTCCTGTGATTATTAACATGAAGTATTTATTTTTCAAGCTTTCTCAACTGATGTGCACTGAAATTTGCTCAATGTGAAATCTGTTTTTTGTTCTGATGATTTGTAGTGAATATAAGTGATTTAAGGTCCTGAATGAGGTCCTGTGTCGTGCTGCTGATGTGACCCCAATAAAGACATCTGTGAAGATTGAGGTTTCATATTTTTATAATTGTTTGATTAATTGGAGCTTTATTTTCAGAATCTATGCAGACAAACTTTGCACGTGTCTTTGATTTTTTTAAGAGTATTTAATTCATGACTAAACTGTTTATACAAATTTGCTGTTTTTCCTTGTAAAACCATTTCATGTTTTCAGCATCTCAAATGTTACGATTTGCTGCTCTTCCTTTTCATGATTAATATAAATTTATAGTTACTAAAGTCAAGATTTGGGCTTTTGGTTGCACACAATCAACTGAGAAAATAAGATGAATCTGTAAGGAAAATTAGTTGCTATATTATACAATAGTTCAAAGAGCTCCAGCTCAACATCCACAGCTGTAAAATCCTGCTTTATAGTATTGAGTCAAAAAAAAAAATTAACGGTGGGACATTTTACTGCACCGAGTACTTCATTAGGTACATTTTGCTGATTATAGTTTTACGCAACATTTTCAGTGCTGACTTGAACCAAATAGTATTGGCTTAGTTGAGCATTTTTAACAGCATTGTGAGTACGTTTCAGTAAAGAATACTTCTCTTCCTCCACCATTGATTCTGTGATGTGAAATGATAACCTCAGATTGAGGTATTTAGGCTAGCTAGGCTCATTAATTTGACAGGGACGATACATGTAGGCATTGTTACACTGAAATAAAATGCAGAGCTGCAAGCTTGTCCCTGGTTGGGCTTTAAGGAATAAAAACCACACTACGTATAGAGACTAGAGCAAAAACAGACAAACTTTAGTAAAAATGCTCATTATATGAAAGTATACTAAATAAACCCATGTTTTTTTAAATTCGGGTCAAAACTTATAGAAGTTCAGTACAAAACTGTCAGGGGCCCTTTAACAAAATGTTACATTATATACAGTCTGTCATTTCCCTATATCAGGGTACAAGGGTATTAAAGCCTAGTTTTTAAATGTAGGTTACCAGAGCTGTGCAAATCTTGTTTTAAAGATTTCTAATATAGCTTGCTAGGTCTCTAGATCATAAGATACTTTGTCCTTTGACATGACGCCAATATTTTAAGACTCATGTCAAAGGACAGTTTGAAGGAGCGGGGAAGAGCTTTTCCTTTAACACAATTGCAGCCACCCCCCAAAAGCAGCTATGGCACTGAACTATACCATTTGATATTTCAATGTAATGAACCAGAACACAAAAAAAGAAAGAAAATTTTATTTGTTTACTGCAATAAGTTACTTGATCAAAAGGATTATATTTTGTTGTTCATTTCCCAGGCTCTGCAAAACAAATAAAAACTGACTTTAGACAGCTGAGTTAAGTTTGAGAGCTCGAACATGTTACTGTTACTGCAGAGTGACATTTTATAATTCACCATTTTACACACTGAGCATTAAAGTTCATCCGTGACCAGAAAATAGCAGTTAAGTTAAGTATACCTTAATTTCTCTTTTACTGTTTATTAGACACAGCCATAGTTCAGTCATAGCTTAGCAACTATAAAACACAGACTGGTCAAGCTTTAGATTTCTCTGTTGTTGAGCTGCAAATGTTAGCATGTCCAGTTACCTAGCCCACTGCAGCAGATTATTTTGAAGGGTTACAGGTCAAGTTAGAAAAAGACCTGCTGGATGCTACTACAGACTTCAGGGTAACATAAGCAGCCCTGCCCTGATTGAATCTCATAACCCCTCTGTAAACTAAGAATTCAAACAAGGTTATGTTTGATGGAAATCTGTGATCTTAAAATATTCTATCATAATGTGCCGTTTGTTATTCGAGGAATAACCAGTAGTAGACACAACGGCTCTCTTCCATCTACCTGAAGGTCGCATACTTTCATGTGTCCGTCATTCCCGGACACAGGAAGTTCTGCGGTTTTCATTCCAGGGCGCCCAGTACAACCGGCTGCCCTACGGTTATTCCCTGGCCCCGCGCACTTTTTCCAAGTGTGTCGAGACGGCCCTGGAGCCGCTGCGGCGGTCTGGCATCAGGGTCCTATTTTACCTGGTCGACCTGCTGCTGGCGCCGTCCCGGGACGAGGCGGTGGTGCAGACGGCCCAGCTAGTCGAACACCTGTCTTACCTGGGCTTCACGGTGAACTGGAAGAAGAGTGCTCCTCTCCCCTCCCGGAGACTCACCTATGTTGGCGTGGTACTGGACTCCTCTCTCAGGAGAGGGTGGATGCTCTGATGGAGCTGCTCCACCATGTTTATTTTGCCTCTTCCTTCTGCTAACATTTTTGGGTGTTAGAGACACTTACAAAATTCAGCATTTGAGCTGCTTACGGGAAAGACTCTGTACATGTGGTCAGAAATAAACCTGGAGCTACAAGAACCCCTGAAGTAATTGTGTCCTGTGTGGCATCTAATTCCAGGGGCTACACAATATAAGCTGATAGCGGCCCAGAATGACTGAGATTCTGGTAGCATTAGGAGTTTGAATTGTCACCTGCCACTTGAATTTTGTGTTTCTCTTTACATAACATTTACCATCGAGTGCAGAAAAATTTATCAGAATGCAGGAATTAGAGTGTTTAATGCTCAAACACTAAAGATTTCTTAAAATCGCATCTCAGTCTCGAATCTACAGACTTTCATCTGTTTGCAATTCAGATAGCGCAACAATGCTTTAAGTGGTTTCCCCAAATTCAGCAGAAAATGCAACTTCTGACTTCTCTAGTCTCAAAAGTCAAGCATTTTTAGTACTTGCCGTTATGACCTGCTGCAAACGAGATTCTGGCAGAGTTCCTGAGGAATCCGGGCCCATTGCTCATGAGCAATGGCCTCCAGTTCAGTAATATTCTGGAGTTTGCGTGCTTCAACTGCCTTCTTCAAATCCCAGAGATTTGAGGTTCAAGTCAGTCGGCCGATACAAGCTAGTTGCATTTCAAACAGCAGAGACAGATCTTTGCTTTTACCACCACGTCAAGTTAAAAATTATTGCAACACAAATAATATTAGCTCTGGGACTGAACTATACCATTTGATCATTTATTGTAATGAACCAGAACACAAGGTGAGGCGAGGCAGATTTTATTTGTGCATCACAAGATGATAACAGAAGAGGCAATTCCTTGATCAAAGGCTTATTAAAGCAAGTTTTGTTCCCATTTTGAGTCATTTGTGGAGCAACTGTATTTGGACACTTAGCCCAGTATGAGATGGTGAACAACAGTTTAATATGCCGCTGTCCAGATACTTTTGGCTATATGCTCCATTTGGAATTTCAAAGTCTCATTGGTTGCATCCGCTGACGCCGTACATTGCCATGTTTTGTTGTTTAATTCCCACGCTCTGCAAAACAAGAGACAAGACATTAGACAGATGAAGTTTGAGAGCTCAAACATGTTCCGTTACTGCCGCCATCGTGACAATATAGACAGTTTTTCCCCATTCCACTTGAAGAATTAATGCAACCTCACCGAATGGCATGTCCTTGTTTTATGTATAAGCAGGAGTCTGCTAACCTACCAATATTTTGCTTTACACGACCACAGATCAGCTTCAGTGGAGTGAAACATCCCAACAGGGCCTTTCAAGTACTTACTTTTACATGTGTAAGCCACCTCCAGGTACTTGTAAGTGCCAACACAGGGGTCTCCAAACACTGAGTTGCTGGCTTTGATAGTACAGCTGTGTTTCCCATTGCACCTGCGGATACAGAGTGAATACAGTAAATGGGGATGTCACATGAGAAAGATGTGGATGATATTAATCCCCATTGTTTAACAAGATGAGAGGGCAGCTGTACTTTTCAGCAACTTTGCTCGTGGGGTTTAAGCAGTTGACATTTCGGAGCTGAGAGGCAGGTCGTTGGGAAGAGCATGTGGTGGAGTCACGGCGTCCATAATGAGCACTGTAGACAGATATAACCTCTTTTGCATCTGACAGAGAGGAGGAGATGGTCAGTATCAGTGTTGAACCGCAACACCTTAATCCACCGAAAATACGAAGGAGAAAGTGTGATCTTACCACACTGCAGCGTTGCCGGAGAGTCCTCGCATGTTACGCTGACGACTGTCAAAGTAAAGATTAACATTAGACATGTTGCACTCACTTCTTTGCGGCTTTGCTTCACTTTTAGTTACGTGCATGTCACCTGCTGGGAGGCAGGTGTAGGTGGTCTCCAGATATTTGTAGATGCCATGGCAGGGATCAGAAGCATGGAAGATGTTTGGGTTTATGTCACACACCCTCTTGCCATTACATCTGCAGGAAGAAGAAAAAGGCTTTAGCTTTCACAATATATACTATGTGAAGCAATTTACACCATGCTTTGAATTGCCGGTGTGTGAAGGACATCATTTAGCTGATGCTTTTATCCAAAGCGACTTACAATTGCTACACATGTCTGGAGCAACTAGGGGTTAAGTGTCTTGAACCCAGGTCTCACACCAAAGGCATGTGTCTTATGCATTGCGCCATCACCAACCCACCACAGAAGGATTCATCCTCTGGTGACCATGACTGTATAAAATCTGGTGCCAGATTCTAATTTTGAATTGTACCTTTTCCCCATATCCACAGTGACCTGCAGAGAACACTTGGTGTTGGCAAGCTGCTGGGGAGATTTGCCCTTACTGCAGGTCGCCTTGTCTGCACGTCCATACACAGCATTCTGCACACTGATCACTCCTTTTGGTGCTACACACCAGAGGGAAACAAACTTGGTCAGAGAGCAAAACTTGGTCTCTCTATACTGTCAACAGAAGTCCGAAACTGACAGTGTTAGTCTGTCAATGTGATCTGTTCAGTTTACAGTACTTTCATTAAAACACAAAAGACTTCAACTGGGAAAATAGTGCACTTACAGGGGACTAAATTGTTTTGCTTGTTGCCTTAAAAACACAAACTTTTGAGTTCAGTCATACCACAGCTCAGGCGTTGGACGTCGTCATCACATGTGATCACTTTCACCTTGGACGAGGGGTCCACAACGGTGGCTCTAGAAAGTCCTAGAATGAAAAATTTGTTCTGGGAGTCATGCATTTTGGAATAAATACACACTTGTTGTGGAATAAGTTTTAAGGATGAGCGTATAGTCAAGGCAGAGAGAGAAGGACGATTAGTGAAGTCAGGAAATGAAAGTGACCAGTGGACAAAGAGCAAAAACATCCAGTTACCTGCTCTCATAAGCAAACACATTGCTGCCAGCACTGGAAGAGAAAAAAAAAACATGTTTATTAGTCTTGTAACTTCTGTGTAAATCCAGTTTAGCAATGTTCTGGGAGTTGATGGTAACACCATGAAACACTAAAATCTTTCACAGGGGAGCTGAAGTGCCTGCGCAGAGTCCAGAACCCAAGAGATACAGAAGTATCTGCTGTCAGCCAGACTACAGAGCAGCTTCTTCCCCCAGTGAGACCCCTAAACTCAATCTCAGCACTGCACCATGCAAAATAGGCATTTTTTGGTGTGACTTGTTCTTTATCCACTCATCTACAGAATATAAATTGTGAGTAGCTTAAATGGAACTACAACTTAATCTCATTATACAACCCTGTGTTGAAAAATGATGACTAAATCTACCTTGTAGTAAGTTAGTTGCGTACTTACACAGGGTGGTGCAGAGTCTGGAGCAGAGCATGGTGTTTAGAAGATCTGGCTTGAGTTGAGTTGAATTGATTGCAGTGAAACACACACCTGCTATTTATTGTGTTGAGGGGAAAGACCTGCCTCTCTCTGTGCAAACTAGTCACCAATAAAAAAACCTGGAATGATGCTGCATTCCAGACCGGTCGGAACTGGGAAATTTCCAAGTTGAAATACAAAGCGTTTCAGTTGCATGGTGGTGCAAGACGCTAAATGTAATTTATGCAAAGTTAAACCCTCAACAGTGCACTCGGTGTTAATTAAAAGGATGGCCATTTTATTTAAAACAAGTGAGAAATACACGTTACTCGTCAACTGTGCATCCTTCTAGCTACATCAGTTGGTAATCCTCAAAAGTCAGCAAAAGTTTTAGGCTATATTTCCAAATGTTTTCACATTTCTGGGCATTTTTAACATTTTCCTCAATAACTTTTGGATACAGAAGATGACTTTCAGATATTGTTTACTGTAAGCAGCTACCTAATTACACTGACAAAATATTTCTACATCACTTTACATGCAGAACAAGTTTTACTATTTGAGACTAGTATGTATTATTTTATTTGAATACTTTACTTTGCCTTTTAGTTTCCGCTTTACCATTTACAATGTGTGCTTCCACGGGAGCTGCCATTGTTGTGCGACGTCATTCGGCTGCTACTCGTGCTACTCGGGTACATATTTTTTCTCCGAGTTCGCGAGTAGGATATCCGACTTCAAATGGCGTTCCAAAGTACTGTTTCTAGTTGGAGGTCGGAAATTTCCCAGTTCCGAGATGCCTTGAACGCAGCATATGTTCCTTGTCAGTTGCAGCAGACTGAAGGAGAAAACTTTAAATGGTTACAGACAATCAAATACCAAGACGTGCAACATACAACAAGATGCCTGAGAACAAACAATGCTTCAGTCCAACCAAGTAGTTTTTCTTGCCTAAACCTGACCAAACTGCCTATATACAAGATGTGAAAAAAAAACAACCTCTCATAGGACACTGAAGTGAACTTTGTGTGTCAAATACAGACTTATTTATAGCTTTGTTCCACTTTTAGTTATGTGCACAAATGTAAGCGACTTGCTGGGAAGCAGGTGAAGGTGGCCTCCAGGTTTTTGTACATGTCAAAGCAGGGGTCAGAATCAGAAAGAGCTCATTGCCAAGTAGTGTTTTACACATACGATTTGCTTTGGTGATAAGGTGCTACAGGTAGACAAACATACAGTTGACATAAATAAATCTAGAAATATAAAAATATGGAATAAACAATGCAAGTTATATAAGAATAATAAAAAGAACAGAGAAAAATAATACAACGTGGCAGATATTTACATGTGCCTTATTCCGGGTTTGTGTTGTGAAGACGTATTGCAACGGAAGAGAGTATTGTGTAGATGAATATATAAATGGACAAAATACAAAAATTATAGAACAACAAGGATTAACAATTGACAAGAAGTATGTGCAATGTGCCAGCTTTGTGCATGAAATGAGACATTTGTATTACTTGAAAGGGGGGAGTATCAATCAGCGAGGGACTCGGGCCTTCTTGATGAGGCTAGCTGCAGACGGGAAGACGCTGTTTTTGTGGCGAGAGGTTTTGGTCCTGATGGACCGCAGCCTCCTGCCAGCGGGGAGAGTCGTAAACAGTTTGCGTCCAGGGAGGGAGGGGTCAGCTGCAATCTTTCCTGCTCGCTGCAGAGTCCTGGAGGCGTACAGGTCCTGAAGTGAAGGAAGATTGCAGCCAATCACCTTCTCTGCAGAGCAAATGATATGCTGCAGCCTGCCCTTGTCCCCGGCAGTGGCAGCAGCGTACCAGATGGTGATGGAGGAGGTGAGGATGGACTCAATGATGGCGGTGTAGAAGTGCACCATCATTGTCTTTGGCAGGCTGAACTTCTTCAGCTGCCGCAGGAGGTACATCCTCTGCTGGGCCTTTTTGGTGAGGTAGGTGATTTCCAGCTCCCACTTGAGGTCCTGGGAGATGATGGTGCCCAGGAAGGATGATGGGGGAGGGTGGGGTTGTGCTCTTTCTAATATCCACCACCATCTCCACTGTCTTCAGAGAGTTGAGCTCCAGACTGTTCTGGCTGCACCAGGGCACCAGATGGTCAGAAGCACAGACAAAAATCGTCCTTTGAGTCAACCAAAAGCACACTCCACAGTCATACGAGCTTGGCTGAGGCGGTAGTTGAAGTATTGCTGATCGTTAGTTAGCTGTCCATTGTGAAGATAAGGCTGCATGAGGAGGTATGCTGCATCTCCCAGAAGCGTGACAGGGGCTGATGTGCCATGAATGTCACGGGTGACCTAGAAATGTAGAACACAAATTTGTTCTTATTGGTCACAGTGAGTATGTTGAAATAACAGATTGAACAGTAAAGAAGGATGGGTTGAATTATGCTTTTGTAGAGCAGCAGTAGAAGGTGGGGTGCAACCGAAAGGGATTTAAATTTACGGATGGCAGAGAGTCTTTGTTGGCAGCGTTTGAAAGTGTTTATTGTCCAGAGTGAGCCCGAGGTATCTGAAGCACTCCACCCATTCAACAGCTACATTATTTATGTATGTAGAGTTGGGGGTGACATTATGGGCTGTGCTGTTGGTGTTGGGTGTGTTAATCAACATTTCTTTTGTTTTTGCAACACTCAGCTGAAGATAATTATTTGAACACCACTGCGTGAGGTGAGAGATGGTCTTGATAGCTTAAAACAGAGTTTTTGTTATTAAGGAGACCAAGAACAACAGCGTCGTCAGAGTACTTGATATATGTGGTGTGGTGTCCGAACAATAATGCTGCGATGATGTGTTGAGAAGAAACCCGCTTGACACTGTTCTTGATCGGAAAAGTTTATTACATGAAGGAGTTCAGCATCAATTACAAGCTCTGCAGCAGCTTGGAGAGTGACCCAGCCCGATGACCACTCTGTCTCTCTATACATCAAACATCTTATATAGGATATGTTTAGGTATCTGCTAGGTACCATAGAAGGGTTTGAGTCTGCAAAATAAAGCTCAAACCCATAGAAGGGTACAGTGCTATTCTGAGGTAACAAAACAAAGGGTTAGAGGTCAAATTCTATAGAAGGGTTCAGTCCCTACATAACCACCAATCACTGCTCTCCCCTTGGGAGGTCACTGACCCTCTGTCCTGCTGCTACAGTGCTATTTTGAACTGTTATGAGTCAAATGCACATATATTGGACACCACAATGGTAACAGGTGAGGGGCTGGTGCAGTCATTGGTGTATAGAGTAAACAGAAATGGACTGCTGAGGAAGCTGCATACCCAGTGAATGAGAACTGAGGGGACGTTGAGATGGTGGAGTTTCCTAATCATCTGGTGAAGCTGAATAGTGTTGAAGGCCGAACTATAGTCAATAAAAAGAAGTTCCCAAGTGATTCAAGGTGTTGTAGTAGTTAGTGCAGAAGGCATGCCACTGCATCTTCTGTCCCCCTTTTGGCCTTGTAGGCAAACTGTAAAGGATCCAATTGTGGTCCGACAATTGGAAGGATACAGTTGAGAATCAGTTTTTCAAAACACTTCATTATTATTGAGGTGAGTGCACCCGGCCGATAGTGATTTAATTCTGAGGGGCGGGGTTTCTTGGGCACTGGTATGATGGTGGATGTTTTCCACAGGGTGGGTATGGAGGCAGTCCTGTAGAATTCTGTGAAGATGGAATTTAGAATGGGAGAGAGCTCCATGGCACAGTCTCTCAGCACCCGCGCTTGGATGCCGTCCGGTCCTGGAGCCTTGCCTGGTTTGCACTGTCTCAGATGCCGCCTCACATCTTCTACTGTGAAAGGAGCAGAGAGTGCCGGCTCGAGGGCTGAAAGGTTTGCCAGTAGTGCCTTGCATTCCTCTGAGCAGTCTATGGTGTCAAACCGTGAGTAGAAAATGTTCAGTTCTTCAGCAAAAGATGATGGATCTGTTATTGTGGTTAGTTTGCGTCTAGAATCATGTCTGGTTAGTGTTCTTACTTTTTGGAAAGCCTGTTTAGTGCTCATGTTGCTGAATTCCTGCTCAAGTCTCTCTTTGCATTTGTGCTTTGTCATTTTTTATTTGACGGTTGATGGTTTTTGTGAGGCCCAGTCTTGTTGTTGAAAGGCTTTCCGTTTTTCCCTGAAACTGTAATTAATATGATGATTTATCTAGGGTGTGGAGTTTGGATATTGTTTTGAAGGTCTTAACTGGTATGGTTATAGTGATGCAGAATTTGATGTAGTCTGTGATGACACTCTCGCATCAAGATTGACATCAAAAATGTCCCAGTCCATGCAGGCCAGTGAGCCTTGTAATTGCGTCCTCCGACGGCTTGTGACTTTTCAGTACCGGTCTGTAATGCGGAAGTAGAAAAACAACATTGTGGTCTGCGAAGCCAAGCAGAGGGTGAGCCCTTGAGATGTATGCGTCTGAAACATTGCCATAACAAAGGTCAAGAGTGTCTTCTCTCCTTGTCGGAATGTCCACGTGTTGCTGAAATGACGGCAGCATATACAGGTGCTTGTCATATAATTAGAATATCATCAAAAAGTTGATTTATTTCAGTAATTCCATTCAAAAAGTGAAACTTGGATATTATATTCATTCATTACACACAGACTGATATATTTCAAATGTTTATTTCATTTAATTGTGATGATTAAAACTGACAACTAATGAAAATCCCAAATTCAGTATCTCTGAAAATTAGAATATTACTTAAGACCAATACAAAAAAAAGGATTTTTAGAAATGTTGGCCAACTGAAAAGTATGAACATGAAAAGTATGAACCTGAAGTATGAGCATGTACAGCACTCAATACTTAGTTGGGGCTCCTTTTGCCTGAATTACTGCAGCAATGCAGCGTGGCATGGAGTCGATCAGTCTGTGGCACTGCTCAGGTGTTATGAGAGCCCAGGTTGCTCTGATAGTGGCCTTCAGCTCTTCTGCATTGTTGGGTCTGGCGTATCGCATCTTCCTCTTCGCAATACCCCATAGATTTTCTATAGGGGTAGAGTTTGCTGGCCAATTAAGAACAGGGATACCATTGTTCTTAAACCAG